GGACTCAATTTGCACTATTTCTAGCAGTCTGCAACCCCCCTTAATAACGCCAGGGTTAGAAAGACTGACAGTCCAAGACTGCTAGCATAATGCAGAATTAATGGTGTTTAATGCTTCTTCTTTGGTTTGTTGGATTAAATGGCTGAGTGTGTCTAAGGTGGCCAAGACGGATAGCAGCAACAGATGAAGATTTTGTTTTTAGTATATTAGTATCTTATTTTAGCATTTTAAAGGGTTGTGTTTTATTGTTCATTTTTCATTATACATATATAATTTCCCATGCTTTGGTGAAAAGGGTGTTATGAATAAATGTTGTTGTTATTGTTTGATGCTCCTTTTACTGTCACGGCTGCATCCCATGGAACCCTGACATTTGTTGTTTGTTGCAGCAGCAGAGTTCTCTGACAGAAAAGGCTAAATATCTCACAAAACTACACATCCCGGAACTCCATACATTGAGCATAACAGTTAAAGCAGTGTCAAATTGAATTAATTCTGTAGTGTAGATACAGTCCAAATCTGTCCTGAATTATGTGAATACCTGCCTTTCTGAAAGATTTTTCTCTCTCCTCTTCCTTTCAGGAACAAGGCAATGAAAAAACCAATAATGGGACCCACTACAAATTGCAGCTACTTTACAGCAATGGTAAGTCACCTGATGACTTCTCCCCATTTTTGCCCCACCAAAAGGTTCTGAAAAATTGACACAACCTTGAGGCATTTCTTGAATTAAACAGATAGGTTGAAATCTGTTGGTTAGTGTCAAATATAGTAAACTCGGGTGAATTGCTGGATGGTGAAAACAGCCAGCGTGGCATAGTGGTTTGAATGATGGATTATGACTCTCGAGAACAGGGTTCAATTCCCACTCCACTATGGAAACCCACTGGGTGACCTTGAGCAAGTCACACTCTCTCAGCTTCAGGGGAAGGCAATGGCAAACCTCCTCTGAACAAATCTAGCCAAGAAAACTCCATGATAGGCTCACTTTAGGGTCACCATAAGCTGAACTTGACTTGAAGGGGCACAACAGCAACAACAACAAGTGACACCTGTTGAAATTCCCTCTTCTGCACAACTAGTAAAGATGCAGGAGCCCCCCTCCAGTTCATACTTTGGCATCCCTAGTAGGGATAGATTAATATATAAGTGTGCATGTAATGTGTAAGTGTGTAGATTGGATAAAGGATAGACCTCCCGAAGGTGATGAACTTCTTCTCCCATCAACCTTACTCAACACAGTAAGTGATAAGGAATGCTAGGAGCTGTAGTTCAGCAACATTTGAAGGGCTACACTTTGTCTACCCTTAGTAGAAATGGAGAGGTGTATGTGGCTTCAGTCTTGCTGACTTTTCGCTCATCATCCTGGGAAGGCTATCCTTAAGGTGTGAAAAGTCCCTCTGTCATCATCAGTTGAGTGGACTGGAAAAGGGATCATTTGGAAGCAGTTTTATCCTTCTACCCACTACTACTACTACTACTACTTTCATGTTACCTATAGGTGTCAGAACTGAACAAGATCTCTTTGTGAGGCTCATTGACTCCGTCACAAAACAGGTAAGGTCCAGTTATTTTTCTGCTTCTCAATAATTTGTTGTTGTTGTTCCTATCTTCTAATCTGTTTGTCGATCTGTGTTTCTTCTCACTCAAAGTTAGATCCGTTGTCTTGTAATCTGGGAGTGGTCTTTCCCAAACTTTAACAATTTCTAATGTGGGTTTTGGGGGCTTTCATTTGTTATCTGGGTGTGGAGAAAAATGCTGGATAAATTCTGTCGTTCCCAAACACTATTTTCTCTGCCCAACCCATCCTTCAATTTTTTTATTTAACAGGAGAGAAGTTTTATCTGGGAATTTTTGTTTGTTTGTTTGATGCCAGCTCTTAGTAATTCTCCATGTATTCTATAGCCTATCGCCTATGAAGGACAAAACAAGAATCCCGAAATGTGCAGAGTGCTGCTCACTCATGAAGTTATGTGCAGGTAAGACAATTCCATTTATTTGTGGTAGACTATCATGACACAGGCACCTTGCTCTGACTTTGGTCATTGTCTGACTAGGCATCCAGACCTTAAATTCCCAGATAGAAGTATGATGGAATAGAAATGTGTTAAAATACTATTAAATATAGGTTCTTAGTGTGACAGATTATTTGCTTTCTACTTCTTTTGGTCCTTCCTTCATTCTTTCCTTCCAAGTACCTTTGCATCGGGACCCACTGTACTTCCCCCCACAAAGACTCAGTGAACAATATATCCATCAATTTAGAGTTGGAACAAATAATCAACTGAAATATATGTCCTTAAATTATAATATCACCAATCCTGAACAGGAGTATGTGGCTCTCCAGATGTTGTTAGACTGCCTATCCTATTAGCTTTCATACTTGGCCATGATGGCAGGGGCTGATGGGATTTATAGCCCATATGTCTTCCAGCTCCTAGCCACGAAGACAGGTACTGAGCTGTGACCATCTCCTGAAGATCTACCCATAGGAATACTATGATTAACAGTTACCCCTGGAAAGAAAGCAAGGAAGGCCATATACTTGCTCCTTCTATAAGGGAATCTCACTTCAGGATCAGAAGAGGCAGGTGGAGGAGTATTAGATACAGAACTAGGCAAATCAATTCCCTCCAGGTGTTCTTGATCACAGCTCCCACAATCCCCACCTGTTGCTATATTAGATGGGGCTGATGGAAAGTTGTAGTCCCACATATTTAGGAGTCACCAAGTTGTCTAGCTTTGGTTAGACACCGCCTATGGCAGATGCTTGGATTGGCCTCTACTAATGGCATCTAAACCGTGAGTCTCTTCACTCTTTACTCTCTTTCCCTCAGAAGTGTGGAATAAGCATCCTGGAAATGTTCAGCAACGTCTTTCACTCTGAGCTCTGAATTCAATTTCAGAGATATTGCTGGTGTGTTTGTGTGTGTTCCAGTGGTGGGCAGTGTCAAAGGAGAAAAGAGTGAGACCAAAAACTACAACAGATTTTTATCTCAAAGCTTTAACTATATTCCCTTATAGAAGGAGCAAGAGTATGCCCTTCTTTGCTTTGTTTCCAGGGATAGCTTTGTATTTAAGCCTTGCCATTGCAGCTATTTTAAATGGAGGAAAAACTACTGATGCTGGGAAGCCGCCAGACTTGTGATGCCATGGGGCAGTGGTTTGGGACTAGCTTGGGACCCAAGAGAGCACGATTTAGCCCCAGGTCTTGAATTTCACCAGCTCATGTCCTAGGGCCAGATAAAATCAAGAAGCTGAATATTTATCTGACCCTTGAGACAGATCTTCCAAAGTCTGGCCTTCATGATCAGGATTTTTATGAAGAGAAGCTTTAACTTCCTCCTATCTTGTAAGATTTTTTTTTTTTACCATTTTGAATGAAAACAGGTTGGATAGCTATCTCTCGGGAGAGCTTTAGTGGTGGATGCCTGCTTGGCAGAGGGTTGAACTAGGTGGTCATTGGGGTCCTTTCCAATTCTAGGAGCCTATGTTTGGAATGTAAGAATCTGACTTATGCAGAGTGAGACCGTTGGTCCATCTAGCTCAGTTCAATCTACATTCAGTCTCCCAGCCGTGGGTCTCTACAAGTAGTCGACCATAATGTATGGACCATCCATGGTTCATAGGAAGATGGTGAGGTGGGGAAGCTGATCTCTTAACACCCGCTTCTGCATTTATTTAGAACTATGCCAGTTTCAAATATGAAGAGTGGAAGCTGGATGACTGCTTCTGAGGTCTGATCTTCACTGCAGAAATAATGCAGTTTGACACTGAATTCTGGGACTTATAGTTTTGTGAGATATTTAGCCTTCTCTGTCAGAGACCGCTGGTGCCACAACAAACTACAGATCTCAGAATTTCATAGCATGGAGCCATGACAGTTAAAATGGTGTCAAGATACATTATTTCTGCAGTGCAGATTAGACCTGAGTTTGGGATGAGTGTATAATCAATGCATACAGTCCCAAGCTGAGGCTACAACTTGTATCTATTTACTTGGTAGTAAGTCCCACTGATCTGAGTGTAACACCTTCTGAGTAATTCAGCCCAACATACATCTATTAAGAAGTATGTTTGATTGAATTTATTGGATTTTACTCTTAGGTAATTGGATAGAGAGCCAGTGTGGTGTAGTGGTTTGAACGTTGGACTATGATTCTGGGGAACAGGATTCTAATCCCTGCTTGGCCATGGAAACCCACTGGGTGACCTTGGGCAAGTCACACTCTCTCAGCCTCAGAGGATGGCAATGGCAAACCCACTCTGAAAAAATCTTGCCAAGAAAGCCCTGTGATAGGTTCGCATTAGGGTTACCGTAAGTCAGAAATGACTTGAAGGCACACAACAACAACAGTAACAACAACAACAATTATTATTCTGGAGTCTGGAGTCATGGCCATTCAAAGTGGTGCCAAACTGCTTTCATTCTGCAGTGTGGATGCAATCCCAGTCAGGAACTCCAAATATCCATTGAACTGGATAAAGAACTGGATACCAACTGGCATGTAGTTGTGGAAAGTGGGAGCAATTATATCATAGGAGGTGTTTTGAGGATTTTCTTCCTAATGTGCCAAAATAAGGTGCATATATGACCTCGAAGAAACAATCTGTGTTTCTTGGGATGCAAGGGACCTGGGCAACGCTTATTACTGTGCCTCAGACAGCAGAAGGTCTTGAGATGGCCTTGATTTGTGCCATTTTTGGATACTTTTTCCTCCGACTGTGGTCCTGATAATAGTGTATGTGGCTTTTGGCAAGGGCAGGTCCTGCAGATGCATTTGATCTGCAACAACCATCAGCCCCAGACAGTGGAGTTGTGAGGAAAGTGGGAGCTGTAGTCCAAAAATATCTGGAGGGTCATCCTTACAATGCCAGCGAGGAGACAGAGGGAGGAGAAAAATAAAAAGCCAGCACGCTAGGTGACGAACGCTGTGTTTTATGCTCTGAAAAGGCTTCTTAGCTTAGGTGCACTTAATCATACCTTATTTATTTAGCATCTGACATTGGTGGGCCCCTGTAAAAAATGTTGCTAGTTCTGACTGTTGTTCATATTGGGAATGTTTTGTGTAACAGCAAAACCATACTGTAGCTGAAACGCATAAAGGAAAAGTAAGTCTGGATTGTAGTGCTTTTACAAAGGGAGATGGACAAGTGTGCATGTCCTTTCTCCAGCTAGAAACATAGATATATGCATATTTAAAAATGCAAGCTATATATGACATACCCTCCAACTTGGGCAGGGACAGCCCCGATTAATGGTTTGCTGTCCTACTTTTTCAGCTGCTTTTATAATGCCCTGCATCTCTTTCCTCCTCCCACTTTTCCTTTGTTTGTATGTATGAGACCTAGTTCAAAATTTAAAAATAGTTTGCACTCTGTTAACTTGCGGAAAGGGGCATAATGTTACCCTTCCCAGTAAGCTCAGTCAAAAGCAAACTGCTATAGCTTTGCCTCGGTTGTTTGTTCTTCCTCACTAATAACTTTTCCCATCGTGACCACACTCTGATGTTGCTTGGCCACATATGTCTGCTTTGCATCCGTGAAATGTGGGAGTGTATGATATGAGTATCTAGTCCTTGTATAAAGGCAGTTCATATGGCAGTTGATAATCCCAAAACATTTACATTCTAAAATTCAAACATGGGAGGCATGCTTAATTTGGGCTGCATATATTAGGATATTATATACTATACTATGTTATTATATATTATATAAGGATATAATATACTTGATTGGGATATCTGATGAGCTCATTCATAGGTCAAGTATAGTCAAGACTATGGTTATCATTTTAAAAATCAAGAAAGAAGAAAATATAGTTGGCACAACTGAGATATAAGGAAGCACTTTAAACTGCCCTTGGTTATTTTGCTCTTCTGTGTCTTCATTTCCAACTTATGGTGAGCCTAAATCATGGGGTATTCTTGGGCTGAGAAAGTGTGACTCACCCAAGGTCACCCAGTGGTTTTGTACGACAGCAGAAAATTGAACTCTGGTCTCTAGAGACCTAGTCCAATATTCAAAATGCAAGAGTTAAACTTGTATTTAAATCCTTCCTATTGACATATATTAGATTTAAAAGCAATTGACACATGATGGCATCGTATCCAGTATAAGGCTTATTTCCTAAAATCAGTGATTGTTGCTAACATGAGAAGGAGAAAAGGCATTTTATAACCAATTTGAACAATAGAGTACTGTACAGCTCAAAACTGACACACTGCTATTGATCACCCAAGACCAATTTATTATATTTCTGGGAGACAAATTCATGCCTCACTTTATGAGTAGCTAACACAACTTTATGAGTTGAATATTTGCCCCCATCAGTTATTAAATGAATTAGCTTGTTGTCACCACCCAAAAATGATATGCTTTTAAACTTTTAAAAAGAGTTTTGTACATTTTTACAAATAGGGGACCTTTTGTGTGAAATGTTCAGCTGAAAGAGAAAAAAAGGCAAAAGAAAATAAGTCAAAAGAAAAGGAAGACAGGGAGAAAAAGAGCTTGTGTTTTGCTGTTTAATTTCCATTGACAGTAGCAACAATAATATAAAATATAATTATATGAAGATAGGTGAGCGGCTGTCGCTGTTGAGGTTTTTCATTTTTTGTGTTAACATTTCATCATGTCTCTTGACTGTCTCTTCCCAACCATATAGCTATTGACTATTTTCCCTATAGAATTATGCTTGTCAAAATATGCCATGCCTGAATTAAAGTGGTAGCAAGAATTTTAACTCTCCAATTGCAAAAGGAACAATTATATTAACCCCGAACCATCTATTTTTGGTAGAGGAACCGGAGAAGAATTAAAACTCTGTGCAGTCCTTTCTACGTAGCACTCTGAATTAGAGAACCAAAATCATCAATTCTGTTTAAAATCCTTATCCTTTGAAAGGAAGCATCTTTTGTATTTTTTTAATAAATTGGAGGTTAGATTTTATTTGTTTTACTAAATAAATACAAACATGACACAGTACACTCCGAATGGGACTGTTATTGATCTGTCCAAACCTAGCTACATTTGACACTTTCTTTTAAGAACAGTCGTAAGATCTTGCAGTGGCATGCTTATGGAGCAACATCAATTTTTTAAAGCTCTTAGTTTTTCTCTGTGTTGGTAACACAGTATATCAAAATTTAATGTACTGTATCAGCCTTGCCGTTCAAGTGGATGCCCATTGTCTATGAGTGACAGGCCTTGCTTTTCAGTCTGAGTTGGATGATAAACATCTTTCTGATTTGTCTCATGGAACTGCATGACTATTCACCTCAAAATGTAGACAAGTGCATCTGGCGCCTTCTACATCTTTCTCCAAGTGACAGATGCATGTTTAGCGGGCATGTTGTCTAAATATTTATGTAGATGCAACAGTGTGTCGCTGGTAGAAGATGGGAAATCTCTGTTCTGCAATAATCAGGATTCTTGGTTCGCTTTGATCTCTGTTGGTGTTGATCTCTTGTTTAGTGTTGAGCTGCATCCACACTGCCGAAACAATGCAGTTTGACACTGCTTTAACTGCTATGGCTCAGTGCTATGGATTTCTGGGAAATGTAGTTTTGCGAGACATTTAGCCCTCTCTGTCAGGGAGAAACTGCCAATTCCAGGATTCCATAGCATGGGGCCATGGCAGTTAAAGCAGTGTCAAACTGGATTATTTTGGAAGTGCGGATGCAGCCCCAATTGCCATTGTACTCTTAGGTGGGGTTGCCAGGGTGAAAACTAGAGAAGGCTCTTATACCGTAAGCCTCTTCATGCATCTGAAGAAATAGATCAAGTCTACAGAAGCTGATGCTACAACTCCTTTTGCAGTTAGTCTCAAAGGTACTACAAGATCCCTGATATTCCTAACATGGCTCCATCTCCGAGTTCTACCTAACATTTGTGTAGAAGGCCGAACTTCAGCAGATGTTGCTTGCTACTTGGTTGTGTGACCAACAAAGCCTGGAGCAATTCCCTTGTCTTCCCGACCTTTAAAACTAGAGGAGCCCTCTCCAGTTTTCAATTTGGCAACCGTAGGCCCTTTAAATCTTGCGTATCCTCCAGGAAACATCAATGAAACTGACAATTTCGACGGGGAAGGAAAGCACGGCCGAAGACGTCCGGCTCGAGAGCTGCAGCCGAGCGGAAATGTTTGCAAAAATCGGGCATGCAGCTTATGGGCAAAGATCTGCACATACGTTGGAACACGTTGGGAAATAAGTCATCTCCCTTTGCTTCTGGAATAATCTTGCCAACTCTTTTCTAAGAGGGGGAAACTGTTTTGTCTGGCTGCTGCCAGAAGTCACAGTGCCCTTGATGCTCAGGGGGGCTGAAAAGATATTATAATGTGAACAGAAGTAGTCTCGGGGCCTACAGCTGGCTAATAACAGCGTTGCATTGAGCGCCAGTGAGACCCACAGCTGTGACTTTCGCCACAAGGCGCAGACTAGACAGCAGCAGACGTAATCGGCTGAGCCAGCCGGCCACTGAGCTTAGGTCTTTATCGGCCAGATGGTGTGAATTTAGACACTTTTGTTATGCAATGCCAGGGAGGAGTTGGGGAGAAGAAAACAAAACAAAGGCCACCATGCTGGGTGCTTATTTGAGTTTGAAATTAGAGACAGATTTTTATTTTTTTTTTCCCGGGTGAAAGTTAAGGGCTGAATTTTAAAAGCATGTTCCAAGGGGGAGGGGGAAAGCCATAAGCCCTTCTTTGAAACCCACACTGCCTTCTGGACACTGAGTTTCTCCAAGGCTATATTTCATCTGGAACTGAGCATATATATA